ACTGTCTTTTATTAATAATTAAAAAAGCCACTTGGGAGTTATTTACATATGGTGATACCCCAGACGGTGATTCCAGCTCCAGGAGTGACATAAATTCGTAGATCAGCCCAGTACAGTGCATCATGGTTCATCTGGCAGGAGTGTACCAGAAAGCGATCGAATCAGAACACCAATGCCAGGCTAGCCTCACACTCAGCTTTTCCCTGGGGGTATCCTGCTGTGCTGGATTTACGTGATGGGGTTTTGGTAGTACTGGAGGGGCTGCAGAGGTAGCCTCTGTAAGTAGCTGCAAGAAGCTTCCCAGGTTCTAAAGCTGGTTGGAGTGGCCTCCGGCCAGGTCGGACTCCCCTCCCCTCTGGCCAGGGCTGAGCCAGTCGCATCTCTGCGAATGCCCTATTTAGGAAGGGAACAAAGGAGCCTGAACCAGGATGGACCTGCAGTGAGGAGAGGAAGAGACTACTTGACTGGAGATGGCCGCAGCAGTACTGGAGATGGCCGCAGCAGCACAGCTTGGAGAGCTCCGAAGCGCCCCGCTCCCGGGTGCCCCTGCTGGGCAGAGTTCATCCTGCTGGGACTGCCAAGGTTTGTTGGGCCTCGTGCAGCTGCAGCGGAGAGAAGACTGTTCTAATTCCGATCTTCAGCATTTTTACGTTTCAAGCCATATAGAGAGGAACAAGATATTTGGTGCATATATCCCAGTTCAACAAAACGGGCTCTAACCAGATGCTGTAAATCTACTGTCTTCTGTGGTGTTTCTAGCCGCAGCAATATTTCTTGAATTACTTATGTTCTTCTAAAATTCATTCAACAAAAGCAGTTTTCATGCTACAGTACTGGATTCTGGTCTCAAAGTGTTGCAAACTATCCTTCAATATGCTTCAAAGCCAGTCTGCTTTTTTACAAGGGCAGTGGGAAGACTTTGCTTTTGCAGTGGGAGACCAAGTTTGACATCCATATTTTTGCTTTTCCTTTGGGACATGTAAAAGGAGTCCCTGGGGCAGGTTTGGTGGCTACCCTCACAACATCGTGCGTTTTGTAGGCAAGCACAAAGATGTGTTTAAATGTAGAAAACTGCATTCTAGTTGGATTTTGTGTCATGAAGAGAGTGGGTTTGATTTATCTGAACAGCAGACTTTCTTTCTATCCCCCACACCCCTGCCGCAGCTGGGCAAATAGCTGGCCGCCTCGCAGCCCTCCAATCATCCCGGCTGCCCAGCCTCCACCCCTCCACCCCCACCTACAGCTGGCTTTTAAAGCAAATACTTTAATAAAATCACTTTCAGTCATTACTCTTCCATTTAAGACAGCAGAAGTTCGGGTCTGGGTAAGAGGAGCAGAAGGTTGCCCAGCTGAAGTTGCTCTGAATCAGGTTTGTAATGTAGCTTACTGCTGAAAGAAGTAACCTGAAAGCAACGTAGCTTATCGTAGGAAACTTTGCCTTTAACATATGTGCTTTTTGACTAGCAAGAGCTGTGGTATGCAGTATTAAATTTAGTGTATGGTACAGCATTATTGTGCTTCTGACAAAGTGCAGATTACAGTGTTGACAAGATGAAATTTATATAAATTGCATAAGATGCAATTTATGTTTTCCTTCCCAGTCTGAGTGGAAGGTGTTCTGCTTTTGGGTGATAAAGCTTTTATGTTCCGTTTTATACATATTAAACTTCTGTTACAGGTGCTGCTTTCCAATTTTAGGGCTTTAAGTGTTATTTAAATACACTACTTTAAATATTCCAAGACATGAGGAATCTTGTGAAAGTCTTGGGCACAATATCAATTTTTAGGACACCAAATAGTTGCAGTAAAATCGTGTATTGTCTGTCCCTGTGTGTGTGCACGGACAAATCATAGACTATATCTAGTTTTGCTTCATTTCTGAATTCTTTAACTTTTATAGATTATTGCACTAGATCTAATCAGTGCAATACTGCAGTTTTGAGTACGGTTAAATTTACTTAAGAGCGAACAAATTTTCTCATAAAATCTACAGATGAAAAATATAAAACATAAACTTTTAGAATTTTTTTTCAGGAAAATAAGGCTGACAAAAACTAAATTAATCTGTATATTATATGTTTATATTTTTCTGCTTTCAATATATTACAAACTTATTTGAGTATTTTCTCCCTAATTGGTGTGCTATTTAACATGTTAAACTACTGCATCTAACAAGTATATATATTATAATATACAATATTACATCAACAAAATAGTTTATAAGTAAAATATCTTTAAATATGGTTTGGGTTCAGGAATCTTTAAAAATACCTCTTGATGGCAGTGTTAAAACTTTCAGACGTTTTATATCACTTCATAAAAGTTGCTTTCCAGATGAGATTTTTTTATCTTAGCAATTTTAACAGGAAATTTTGTACGAAAAGTTGCATGGCAACCGCAGCACAGTGGTAGTTTAACCAAAAGCTTTGGCTTTCCCACCTGTTGCTTGGGGTTGATGAGTACTGACTTAAACCACTTATTTCATGTAGTTAAATTAAAATGTTATTTTAATAGAAGATTGTGGTGATACATGATCTAGTAGTTACTTCTTTGGTTCGCTATCCACCTACTGTTTTGTTTTGGTTTGGGATAGGAGGCCATTTGTTTTTTTTTTACCTGGAAGCTACTTTGCAAAAATGGTAGGTTTTACTCAACTGTGAAGTAGTCAAAACAATTTTAAAGATTAATAGAAACTTTGCACGTGCAGACTTTGTCCCTTGCATTGTGTTTGTAGTTACACCTTTTTTGACACCAAACTTTTCCAGCTAGAAGAGGGCTGACAATAGATGACCATTAAATGTTCCTGCTCATCCATCTGAATGGAAGACCTGGAATTAATTATAAGGCTGAACTCATCTTCTTGGGTTCACATTCAGATGCATGATGATCAAGCAGTAAATTACCTGGTTTGGAAAGTCTGAAATTAGGAAGAAGTATCAGCAGCTACTGTAGAGAAGGACTCCCAAGACAATAAAGAACAAAAGGGATAGGGGAAGTATCTGTGCTTAGTTCAGGCACTCTGACAAATATTGTGAATGTCTGTGATACATGAGGAAGCTTTTTGGGTGTTTTTCTCCTACGTTAGATAGATCTGTGCAATTCCTTTCCTATCTAAACTAAGTCCTCCTGTCCTGCCTGTCTTTGTTGCACGCGTTTGAAGGGGTAAAACCGTAAACTGCAACGTGGATGGCATTGCGAGTCTTTCTAGGAATGCGTTCAAGGAAGGCAGAGGCTTCAATATGGGCTGAATATTGGTCCTCAAGTCTAAGGCAGTTGAACTGGGGATTCCTTTTTTCAGAGGACTTGGAGAGGCATATTCTATGTTATTATCTGTAGCTGAAGGAAAACTCAGTCCAGAAGAGACTTCAGAAGTGCAGTGACCCAGCACGTGCAGAGCCAGAGAGCTGCCACCTCAGTTGTACACAGCAAAAGGAATGTGCCAAAGTCAGCAACAAATGGACTTCATAGGTGTTTGCTTGTGACAAATGTTTCTGTACCGTAGACTTGACTGAAGTGGAGCCTGGTACAGGTTTGAATGCATGGGAGAAGCAACAGGTTGGGTCTGCTCCTCACCTTAATTGAAATAAGTGCACACTTGGTCAGTGCAAGGGCATTTCTCTTTTTGGTTTCTTATCGCTAATTTCCTGTGCTTAAACTCTGTATCAGCTCAGGATGCAATGTTTACTCTGTTTAAACTTCATGAACAACTCAGCCCACGCTGACTGGTTGCACTTCGAATGTTGTTCAAAGGCAGGCAGGCGTTTAATTCTGCTCTGAGAAACGTAAGACAAGTGCCTCCAAAGCACTGTGAGCTCTGTCAGCAGCAGAGCATTGAGAGAGCTCGCTTCCTTCTTGACCCATTACCTAATGTATTCCCAAACCTCACATTTCCCAAGCTGTGAAGTGTACCTCCCCAGGTAGACTCAGAGAAGACCCAGTGCTCATCAGCTGTGCAGGTTGTTCCGCAGGAGCCGGGGCCAGGTGGAGCTCCTGGCAGCAGAGGCAAAGAGGAAGCAGAGGCCATGGATGAGGCAGGCTTAGACTGCACCCTGGAAAGAAGGAAGTAAAAGGAGCAATTGGGAAAATACTGAGACCTGCTGGTCAAAAAGTAGGAGAGATCACCTTTTCCATGTTCACTTACCCTGCTTCATGTTCCTCTCTGTCCTAAAGATTAACAGAAAAGGAAACTGTGAGATTTGCCTGATCGTGCTGGTGCAGGATTGACACCATTTTTAGGAGTGTATGGTTGCAGTCAGTATAAGCTTATAGGACAATGCTGCCACCAAAAGGCGCACCCAGCTGTTACCTTCTTTGCTTCTGTAGGTTAGGATTTGATCGTGAGACCAGCTCAGCCAGAGTTTCCATAAGCTGTACGTGTGAGTCAGCGCCCAGGTTGTTCTCTTGCTGCGGCCAATGAGTTAAGGCATCTGTCTTACAAGGGGACGCCTCGGAAAAAGGTTAAACTTGTCAGTGATTTCTGCAGATGCTTTGTCACCACCTGTGTCATTTGATCCTGTGTAAGGGCCAAATAGCCTCATAAGCTCATCAGTTTTTCCTGCTGCACCTTCCTATCACTATGAAGTGATCAGTACCACAGTCTTTGGATGTCTCAGCCAAATCTGAAAGGGGGTCATGTCTGAGGTAGTGCTCTGCACTTGGTAGACAGCAACAGAAGTTGTGAAGCAGTGTTCAGACATTGTTTATTATGCATAGGTGCATGCTAAGTATAGGAAACAGTGTAAGACCTTCTGGATTGCAGTGGTTGTTGTAAAAGAATATGTCTTCATCAAGTCCATATTAGGATAGGTATACCTAAAAAGACTGGTTTCTCTTGCTTATGGTTGGTTTTTTTCCTCTACAGACACAAAGTTTGTATCTTGAACCTTGTCTTTGGTTGTGCTCCAATTTTCAAATGCTAAAGAAGAAAGGGTGGGTTTGAATCAGAACAGGTGTTTCATCTTACTGGCTTCTGCCTATCAAGAACCAGCCTCCTGTTGTCTCCACAAGAATCACAGAAAGCAGAAGCAGGAAAAAAAATCGGATTTTGTCACAAGGATTCCTTCTCAGCAGACAAAATCATAATATCACCCACCTGGCTACTGTGATAGATGACTTTACAACCTTCAGGACTTCTTGTCCCAACTTGCAAAGGAGCAGAGCAATCAGAGATGCTGTTTGAATAACAAAAGTCTTTGGAAACTGTTTAGTGTTCAGAGACTAATGTCTGCCAGTGTAGGTTTTCCTGTTAATGAAATATCAAACAAACTGTCATTTGGGGAGGAAAAAAATTCATTCCTTTCAAAAAATGCCATGTTTCTGTGACACTGAAATAGCTAAGGGGAAGGGCATGGAGTCGCAAGGGTGTTGCTGCCTATACTCATGGGCTACAGCCTAATGAGTGTATTAATATAGCATCCTAAGTGATTCCTACAGCTTCAAAAATGTCATCGTGGAAAAAACAATAGTGCCCTTGGGAATACTTGTTCAAGTACGGCCCAGGATAGACAAACCTGGCCTTGGGGGAGTGGAGTGCCTCAGGCCCAAAGAAAGGCTGCTCTTACTGAAGAGTTCAGGAGCTACAGCAGGGGATTTTGCCTGACCAGTTCAATGTTGATTCCCCTCAGAAGATCTTATGGATCTCTTCTGACTGCCGACATACACATCATCTTGCACATCTGGGTTGGGGCAATCCTAAGCACAAGTACAAACTGGGTGGAGAATGCATTGAGAACAGCCCTGAGGAGAAAGACTTGGGGGTGCTGGTTGATGAGAAGCTCAACATGAGCCAGCAATGGGCACTGGCAGCCCGGAAAGCCAACCGTATCCTGGGCTGCATCCAAAGAACTGTGGCCAGCAGATTGAGAGAGGTGATTCTGTCCCTCTACTCTGCTCTTGTGAGACCCCACCTGCAGTACTGCATCCAGCTCTGTGGCCCCCAACATAAGGACATGGAGCTGTTGGGGCAGGTCCAGAGGAGGGCCATGAAGATGATCTGAGGGCTGGAGCACCTCTGCTATGAAGGCAGGCTGAGAGAGTTGGGGCTGTTCAGGCTGGAGAAGAGAGGGCTCTGAGGAGACTTTAGAGCAGCCTACTTGAAGGGGGCCCACAGGAAATCTGGAGATGGACTTTTTGCAAGGGCATGTAGTCGTAGGACAAGGGGTGATGGCTTTAAAGTGAAAGAGGGTAGATTTCGGTTAGATAGAAGGAGGAAATTTCTTGCAATGAGGGTGGTGAAACACTGGAACAGGTTGCCCAGAGGAGTTGTGGCTGTCCCATCCCTGGAGGTGTTCAAGGCCAGGTTGGATGAGGTTTTAAGGAACCTGATCTAGGGGCAGGCGTCCCTGCCCATGGCAGGGGGTTGGAACTTGGTGATCTTTAAAGGTCCCTTCCAACCCAAACCATTCTATTATTCTATGATCTTAGTTCTGAAGCTGATGTGTGACATCTCCTCAGTGGATGAAGTGTAGATACCATGGGCAGACACTTATCTCTCGGAGTCTGACAAGCTGAAAGGAGTTGCCTAATTGCAGCAAAACTTTCCGAACTTGCCTCTTACTGTCTTCCACTGTCCTGGGGCAGCTATCACCTTTCTCATGACCATTAAGCATCACTGACCAGAACTCTTCAATTCCATTCATTATCCTTTATCAATTTCCCTTTCCTTGAAAGGGAATGGTGACTTTTTATTTTTTTTTCAAGAATGCTCCATAAAGGGAGAAGTAGCCTATCTGACTGTACTTGGGGAGCTATTACAGGAATAGAGGGAAAATGTTTCTGCACAGAGATCTCTTTTTTTCATACGCAAGGGGATTTTTTACAAGCAATTCAAGCATTCAGGATGGTGATTCTCTTGCTTCTGACTGTGTAATAGGATCAAATCCTGCTAAGCGAGCTATCCATCTTGATGCAAAGTCATTGCTGTTAGTGGACTGAACTATTATGAGTAGAAATGCCCTTTACTGTTCTTAGTCCAGGAAACAGATACAGACCGGGAAGGAATCTACCAGCAGAGTATATTCCTTTAAATGAAAAAGATTTTCGGTTCCCAGGAGGGTTCCATTTAGCAAATCATGAGCAGAGTATAGCTATTTATGGCATAGGTTGCAAAGACAAATATCAGTTTGGGGAGATGGCAGGTGGAATCACTTAATTCTTACCAAACTCTTGGTCATGGTCAATGCAATTCAAACGAATACATAAAGAAAGATGGGACTTGTACATTAATGCTGCCTCTTTGAGATATTATTTTCTATGGGATGCCTCTGTCCCACCTCCCAACCAAATGCTTCGGACTCTCAGCTATCATCTTTTTTGAGCTCGGAAGCAGGGTAACTGCTGTTCGCCCTAGCAGGCACCCATATCACAGGCCAGAGAAGTCTGGCCCACCTGTTGTCCTCCAGAACTTAGCTGGTCACAAAACTTGAGCTTCTATGGAAGAGCTGATCGCACCTCGCACTGCGATATACACTCAGAATATTGAAGGACTACAGTTGGCATGGGATGAGCAGTTATCCCATCAGGTTTTGTTAGATGCTTGTCAGGGGGAGTTGTATGAGATGTCTTGTAAAGAATAATTGCTTCTGGGAAACTTCCTTGTTGTGGGAGGGAGTAGAAACACTATTTTAATGTGCTTCCAAGCAGTTTTTACTGAAGTGAATTCTAAAGGCAAAAGCCATGTATTTGAAGGCAAAAGGAGATTGCATTGACTCTGTCAGAAGGGTGTATTTTAAAGCTTTTGGTGTTTATAGCCATGGTGTTGGAGATTTAGGTCTTAAAGATCCTTATTTATGTTGTTGCTGATCATTATCTTAGAAGTCCTTACAATATATAATAGATATCTGTTCTCGTTCTGTTTCAGAAATGGTTAAGAAGCAGCCATCAGCAGATAAATAGAAACTTCCTTTTTTACAGCAGTTTAGTAAACCTAAAGATAATGGATATCTTTCCCTGGGGAAATAAGTGCTAAGTGTAAAATCAGGAATACTGAACTCCTAATACGTTTCCCATGGAAGAAGCACATGCCAGCTTATTTAATGTCAAAGGAGAGTGTAAATATATTAATTAGTAGGTGTGATTAAAGTTCTTTATACAGATATGGGGATTTTTTGTTGTTTTTCACCAGTGTCTATGGTAACTTTTATGTACCATATTGATTTCTTTTTTTTTATTTCAGAGCTCTACATCCACCATGTTGTCCTGTGGACCAGCTTCGTCCTTTGTTCGGTGTCTGGTGCGGAAGAAGAACGTCAGTAGTGAAAGTCCTGAGGACCCCAAGTTGTGCCGATGCTTATCGACAGTGGACCTTATAGCCCTGGGAGTAGGAAGTACCCTTGGTGCTGGTGTTTATGTCCTTCCTGGAGAAGTAGCCAAATATGATTCTGGACCTAGCATCATTGTTTCTTTCCTCATTGCTGCGCTGGCGTCTGTGATGGCAGGTCTCTGCTACGCTGAGTTTGGTGCTCGCATTCCCAAGACTGGTTCTGCGTATTTGTATACTTACGTAACTGTTGGTGAACTGGGGGCTTTTATCACTGGTTGGAATCTAATTTTATCCTATGTTATAGGTAAGCTTAAGAACAAACATAGGTCTCAAGGGTTTCTAAGACAACAGATATAAAGCAAGCTACTAGTGCTTTTTACTCCTGCTGAGATGAAATAACGAAAGTAATTTGATTAGGTTATTTCCTTCTGTGCTTCACCATTGCAAATAGTTTTTTTGCAAGATGCTTTTGTAAACAGTGTGTCTTCAGCAGTTTGAACTGCATACCTTGTATGGAAACAGTGTCAGACAGTTCAGTGATGATGCACAAGAGTAAACAGGATTTCATTGCTGTTTTTGTTCAGCAGTAATAATTTCAGTAGAATCAATAAGCACTTTTTTGCTGAATATACACAGCAAGGACACTTACAGGGACCCCATCACTATAATATCTCACTTCAAGAAATTCATGATGTTTGAGTACCAACTTGTTAGTATAACCTCATGCTAATTAAATAGTGTCCTATCAGTTAATCCTACAAAATGCAAAGTTGACCAGATCTGAATGAAATCAATGCTTATATGGCAGATACTCAAATAGCGATGTAGTAGAGATGACATTTTTTTGATTCAAAAACGTTTTCCTCCAGAGGTATGTGTTCCCAGCATCCATTATATTGTATATAAGCACGCCTAGCTGTGTATTATACCTAACTACAAGACTATTGCCCAAATCGCTAAAAAATCAATATGCCTGAGTACTGTATTGAAGTGTATTTCATGATAGGAGGGTTGTAAAAATAAGGTTGTATTTAGTGGTGGCCACGTGCGCTCTTTAACAGAGGAGAGTATTAATCTTACATACAAACTCTAGCAATATACATCTTGCTAGTGATTTTTTGCTTTACTTCCAGATGGGCAAACTTTCTTTCATGGTCTTTCTTAAACTGCTTTCTTACATTGCTTTATATTGTTTAACAGATGGCCATACTGTAACTTTAGAAATGTGTCTTCCAGAATGACATCAGATATAAATGGTACAGAAATAATTTCTGCAATATTTGGGGAATAAATGAGGTACAAATTCGTATATTTTAGTTGTAGAACAATATGTTACCATTTAACTATGTAGAAAAATTCTCAAGCATTCAAATTCCTCAGCAAAACAAAATCACTATTTTAACACAAGCCCTGCTTGTTTAAATGCAAGTAGAAACATGCTTAGTTTTACTTCTTTTTCAATAGAAGTAACTGTACCCCATTGTATGTATGCAAAACGCTAAACATGCATGTATTTTATGAAGGTACAGCAAGTGTAGCAAGAGCCTGGAGTGGCACCTTTGATGAAATTATTGGAAAACGAATTAGTGATTTCTTCAGAGCCCACTTGAAAATGAATTACTCTTGGCTAGCAGAGTATCCTGACATCTTTGCTGTAATCCTTATATCACTTTTATCAGGTAAGACAATATATGGCCTCATTTATGGTGGTTGTGATGCCAGAGTGTTTCTTACAGAGAAAATGCTAAATTGTAGTTTGTGTTTTACCAGAAATACCTTAATAATATTTAAGAAGTTCAGATGTGCTTTTGTGTATTGACACAATTACTCTGGGGATTAAATGTATACGATCAAAATTTTCATGTGTGCCCCTCTTCTTTTGTTGAAGCTGACACATGAAATAATCACTTGTCAGTACTTTTTTAATAAAACCCATGATACAGATTGGTGATAACAGAAAAATTATAAAAGTTCTGTGTGGATTTTATGCTTTATCACTGGTAAATGCTTTCAGAGACTTTAAGGTGAAGCTCTGTGGTTTGGTGAAGTGACGTGTTCTCCTTAAACCACATAACTGTGCATGTAGTGGGTATTTGTAAGGATTTTTTTCCCTGTAAATTGTTAACTTACTCAGTAGAAAATACCTGAGTTTTTATTCTCTGGAAAGTGAAACTAAGTTACGTGGTTATAACCTCCTGTTCTCTTATTCTGTTACGAGTGGCTTTTTTGGACTCAGTAATTAGGGAAACATCCTTGTTCGACTCCTAGTGCTAAAATGAGTGACCAGAGCATCTGAAGCTTTTATTAGGTCTCTGAACATAAAAAAAAAAAAAGAGTTCCCACACTTAAAAAGATCAGGGAGTTTACTAGACAAGGCTTAGTCCAGCATCCCGCCGTGTTTGTGCCTCGGAGTTGCCTATAGGACCAGTTCAGATCCTTATGTCTTCTGGTAAGGATGGGAATGAATTTGCTATGGATCTGGAACAGACCTTTCAGTTCCACTTCTTCCAAAGGATGGAAGAAAAAAATAACATTTTGAAAAGCAGAGCAATGAAAGTCCACAAACCAAACTATAAAATGCTAGTGTAGATGTTGCCATCTTTTGTGTTTTCTCTATTGCCGTTGCTGCTTCCTAGCATCAGAAGAAGAGATTCTTGACAAAAGATGGAATGTTGTTTCTCCTGTGGTTCTCCAGTGCTCCTGAGTTTTCATTTGTATCCTGTCTTTTCATGCCCACCATCATCATTCCTTCTTCACTTCTCTTGCGCTTGTGCCGTAAATTACCTCTCCGGGTCTCTGTGGTAAGGAGCCAAACCACCAGTGGATGAACTGGGTGCAATTCACCGCTGCTGAGAGGGGCAGATGGCCCAGATGGCTCAGGGCTGCATAGGCTGAGCGTGATACAGTAATTGGATTCTGAGCTGCACAAAGCTGAATCATAGGAGTAGCAGATGATGTTTTACAGAAAACGTTATGTGCTAAGCACAAGGGAAAGTCCGCAGAAATCTGGCTGCCTTTTTTTATTTATTTTTTTTTTTTCACCTACAGAAAGGTCTTAAAAAAACGCATGTATTAAGTTTCGTACTGCATTAGGCTGATTGAGACACTACCTTCTTGGGAAAAACTGAGCTAAAGAAAGCATACACCTATTTCCAATAAAAATTTCATCAGTGAAGAAAACTTTAGCAGCCCATATGATAACTTCTGTGTTATGATAAGATACCAAATGTCTCATTAGTGGAGTCAGAAATTTTTTAGACTTTATCTTGAGAGGCTTAAAATTTTCAGGCTTAATCTCTAAATAATGAGGGAAAGCATGTATGTGATATTGGTGGAAAATGCTTGGAGTGCAAAGAATCTGTGGAGGCTTTCTCATTGTATTTAATTTAATTTTTCCTGATCTGCTCACTATCTGCTCCTCTATTAAATTGTTAGCACACTTAACGGTTGTTACAAGTCTAATGACACAGTAGGATCCTGATGGAATAACTTTCAGATTGTTTAAATGCATGACTCTGCAACCTAAGGCATGTATATTTTGTTTTGTATCAGACTTTTTTCTAGAATCTCTATGAATCAGTGTTTATGAACAGGAGGTGTGCATTTCTTTTAAAGGTTTTATTAATGAGTTAGGAAATGGGACTCAGTCTGTGATGGTTATGCCTCAAAAATGTGGAGTGAACAGATGACATTGTTAATCTAATAATTCTGATTATTTTATTAATCTAATGAGTAATTGTTCTGTCAGGAAGATATTCTACTGATCTGTTTTTACTGAGCATAGAAATCTGGTACCTATTTTTGCTCCGTCGCATGAAATAAAGATATGAATTGGAATCTCAGAAAAGCAATAAGTAACAGTTGCTCAAAATACTTTTAAATACTTAGAGTACAGTTAAGGAAGCTTTCTGTTTTGTGGTTTCCAATACACTTGCCTATCGCCATGCTGTCAGAATCTAATAAATTTGTGCTACTGCTTTTTAAAAGTATAAAATCTAGCGCTATTTTTTTAGTATTAGTCACAGTACTTGCATGTATGTCTTCTTTAAAATGCCATTTTATTAGTTTAAGGGGCCATTCACATCTATAAAATATTTTTATTTTATAGGTCTTTTATCTTTTGGAGTAAAAGAATCCGCATGGGTGAATAAAATGTTCACTGCTATTAACATCTTGGTCCTACTCTTCGTTATGATTTCTGGTTTTGTGAATGGAGATACTGACAACTGGAAAATAAACCCTTCTGCAATAACAGAGTAACTTTATTTTTTAAAATAAATTTATTTGCTCATCTTCCAAGAAATTTTGTTATACCTGCTTTTGTAGTATTGCAGGTATTGTATCAACTGATAGCTCTATTGCTGAGAACGATAAAACATTTTACTTCCTTATAAATTAATTTTCATTTTCTTGTTTGTAATTTCCTTAAAAAAAAAAAAATCTTCCATTCTCTTGTCTGTAGCCATTTGAGAGGTTACTGGCTTCTTGTCCTTAAATGTATTAAGCATGTGAGTATGACAGCAAGAGTTGCCTACAGCATTAGTGTTTTAATGTTTTGCCACAAACTGCAAAGTGAGTAAGATGATAGTTACTTGATTTGGGTATTCTTCCATTTACTGTTGTTTTTGTCTTTCTTACAAGTTTTGACATAAAAATGTCATCTCATGCAGTTTTGTAAAGCAGAACTCTGTCTTGACAAGAGCATTTTAACATGTTTTTCCAGAGTGGTAGGGGAGAAGGATGCATGTGTTTGTCCTACCAATAATAAAAAAAATGTTATTTTCCTGACATATTTTTTGTTCTTTACAGGGATCACTCATTCAATGAGAGTGTGACTCTGACAAGTATATATGGGAGCGGTGGCTTTATGCCATATGGTTTCACAGGAACATTGGCTGGTGCTGCAACCTGTTTTTATGGTTTTGTTGGATTTGACTGCATTGCAACAACTGGTATAGTATTTATATATGTGTGTGTATATATATCTGTATAACATGTGTTTTTTGTAAAAAAAAAAAACAAAACAACAAAAACAAAACAAAAAAAACCCACAAAAACCAAACCACTCAAACAACATAACAATCTACTGTTCTTCCTTTGCTTTGTCCTAAACACCCTTCAGTCCATGTAGAATGTGTCTGAGTTCATTCCTGAATGTGGCTATCATTTTGAGAGGAAGGAGGAGATTTTACTAATTTTATTCCTGTTCTAAAGAAATTAGTTTTCGCTTTCTAGGTCTGGAAAGTGATCACTATACTTTTTTTTTTTTTTCTGCCCAAATCATGTTAATCACTTGCTCACTTTTACAGTTCTCTGAGATGAGATATCTCTTCTAAAGGCTGGCTCGTATATGTATGGGTGATAGGGAATGAGTATATTGAACTTGTGATTTGTAGGTAAATAACTAGAAATTATGAGCTTTGAGTACTCTAAATACAGAATATATTTTATGTCTTTTAGTTTACCTCTATTTTTTAAATGCTATTTCTAGCAACAAAATACTGAGTTTCTTTTATGTCAATAAGTTTATTTTATGCAGATTTTTAAAACTTGTATTACAAATATGATTCCCATGGCTTAGATTAACAAATGATTTGTCTTTGATGTTATCTTTTAAAGCTGAAGGTGGAAATGAATAAGAATTTTTGGTGATGTGGTTTTTTCCCTTTTTCAGGAGAAGAGGTCAAGAATCCTCAGAAAGCCATACCCATAGGAATTGTGGTGTCCCTGCTTGTCTGCTTCATGGCCTATTTTTTGGTTTCAGCTGCAGTGACACTTATGATGCCATACTATCTACTAGATGAGAAAAGTCCTCTACCAGTAGCATTTGAATATGTTGGATGGGGTCCTGCAAAGTATGTTGTAGCAGTGGGATCCCTCTGTGCTTTGTCCACAAGGTAAAGACATTGAAATACTAATTTTATTGGGAAAAGCTGATGGATAACATATGACATTTAAATGTATGTTCATGCATTCACTTTGAAGGCTCAGTTCATGCAAAGGATTAGCAATAAGTATTATAAATATGTTTTAGAATTAAGCACATCTTGATGACAGCAGGTGCATTAATTTAAGTTACTTTTTTGAACTGTACTGTTATTGAACTCTACCTCTTTGGCTTATTACACAAATTCTCTTTATTAAAATACGTATTTTCAGACATATGACCGGCAAGGTATCTTTATTCACCGATAAAATAAATCTGACCTATTTTGTCCTTTCTTACTGTCCACTCGCAATGACTCAGCAGCTTTATGGGCTCTGTGTATTTGCAGGCAAAATTGAAAAGATGATTAACTAGCTCCACTCCTCGTCTTTGTTGCCTGTCTCCATTTTCCTCTAGTAGCCAGTCTGTCTTCTGATAGCATCCCTTCTTACGGTTTCTGTGTGGGTATTTGAGATCTAATTATAGCTGTGAAAATACGATAATTTATTTCCCTTTGAGAAACTGTGGATGTAACCCTAACTTAATGTGTTATTTTGATTAAAAAGACCAGGGAGGGTATGAGATATACTAGTATGTGTTCATATATATTACACCTCAGTTGTAATGTGGTATAAACACTTTCATAGAATAGAACATTGCTTGATACTTGAATTTAGGGATAGAAAAATGTTGATGCCAATCTTCTACCTGAGCTTGTGTGGTTAAGGAGTCATTTATGTGAGCCTCAGTGGTAAGAATACTGACTACCTTTCCACAAATTAAAAATTACATGCCCGTTTAAGCCCTAATTCTAACAGTACTCTGAGATAACCCTGTAAGCATTAGCCTGAAGAAGATGAGGACGCTGACTGCAGACAGCGGTTTAAAGGAAAAGCCAGTCAGTCTCACCTCTGGCAAGATCATGGAGCAGGTCCTCCTGGCAAATCTGCTAACGCTCATGTCAAAAAGTAGGTGATTGCTCACAGCCATCATGGCTTCACTAGGGGCAAATCATGCCTGGCAAATTTGGTGGCCTTCTACAATGGAGTTACAGCATTGGTGGATAAAGGAAGAGCAACTGACATCATCTATCTGGACTTGTCCAAAGCATTTGACACTGTCCCATACGACATCCTTGTGTCTAAATTGGAGAGACACGGATGTGATGGATGGACCACTTAGTAGATAATGAATTTGCTAGATGGTCGCACTCAAAGAGCTGCGGTCAACGGCTCAATGTCTGAGTGGAGACCAGTGATGAGTGGTGTTCCTCAGGGGTCAGTACTGGGACCAGTGCTGTTTAACATCTTTGTTGGTGACATGGACAGTAGAATTGAGTGCACCCTCAGCAAGTTTGCTGATGGTACTATGCTGTGTGGTGTGGTGTGGTGTGGTTGACACACTGGAAGGAAGGGATGCCATCCAGAGGGACCTTGACAGGCTGGAGAGGTGGGCCTGTGTGAACCTCATGAAGTTCAACAAGGACAAATGCAAGGTACTGCACATGGGTCAGGGCACTCTCAAGCACAAGTACAGACTGGGCGGAGAATGGATCGAGAACAGCCTGGGCAGAGGACTTGGGGGTGCTGGTTGATGAGAAGCTCAACATGAGCCGGCAATGGGCACTGGCAGCCTAGAAAGTCAACCGTATCCTGGGCTGCATCCAAAGAACTGTGGCCAGCATGTTGAGGGAGGTGATTCTGTCCCTCTACTCTGCTCTTGTGAGACCCCACCTGGAATACTGTGTCCAACTCTGGGGCCCCCAACATAAGAAGGACATGGAGCTGTTGGAGCAGGTCCAGAGGAGGGCCATGAAGATGATCCAAGGGCTGGAGCACCTCTGCTATGAAGACAGGCTGAGAGAGTTGGGGCTGTTCAGCCTGGAGAAGAGAAGGCTCCGGGGGCACCTTAGAGCAGCCTACTTGAAGGGGGCCCACAAGAAACCTGGAGAGGGACTTTTTACAAGGGCATGTAGCGGTAGGCTAAGGAGCAATGGCTTTAAACTGAAAGAGAGCAGATTTCGATTAGATATAAGGGGGAAATTTATTTATTTTTTTTTACAATGAGGGTGGTGAAACACTGGAACGGGTTGCCCAGAGGAGTTGTGGCTGTCCCATCCCTGGGGATGTTCATGGCCAGGTTGGATGAGGTTTTAAGAAACCTGATCTAGTGGCAGGCATCCCTGCCCATGGCAGGGGGCTTGGAACTAGGTGATCTTTAAAGGTCCCTTCCAACCCAAACCATTCTATGATTCTGTGAATAATTTGATGTAGGAGAGGATCAAATAAGGAAACAGTTCCAGAATGACATTGAAAGGATTGTAGGGCTGACTGAAGAACGTCACAATTACACAGTTCATTCTGGGATTATAGTTATTTTCTATCTATTTGTCATGTCCCCTCAGTTTGGAGGGTTTTACTAAATTTTTCCTCTATATTGATAAATAGTAAAAGTGATATATAAGCAGAAACTAGATTAAGGAAATTAATTCTGGAAAACAAAATGGCCTGAGATGGTAAAGTGCTTTTTCAGAAATTTGAACTGTTGTTCTATTTTCCCAGTGTATTCCGAAGTATTATATTTACTCATGCGGAGAGATTAATCTTTCAGTCGGTTGACACGTGTCAGTTTAGAACAAAACAAAGGACATTATATTTCATATTCCTCAGTTTAGAGGTATAATTAAGAAAAAAAAATGGGATAATTGCTTTTGGTCCACATAGTTACCTCTTACTCTTTTATGTCGTGAACTCGTTTCCTCGGGGTGAAGATGTTTGTTAATATATTTGTTATTTATGTGAATGTACTTAAAGAGGAGTAGGATAAATAAATCTTACAAAGCCACTACAGGAAAAAATTCGGCAGTAGATCTTCAGTCTCCTTATTTGAAAAAACAGTTGTCACCCTGATTTAGGAAACATTCTCTTTTGGAAGAGACATTCATGCATCAAAATCAGTTCATGTGCAACGAAACTTAGCTCATGTGTGTCTAACCTTAATGCTTGCATCTCACAGTGTTACTGGAGGTACTTAGCATCTGTGGTATGTAAAAGTTGTGCCTTCTGTAAGTGATATAGTTGATTCCCTAAAGTAAGAAAGGCGACCATTCACCTGGTTAAAAACTAGTGTGCTTGCTGCAAAGGTTATACTGGCAATGATTTTGCCTTTTGTCCTTTCAAAGTTTTTGTTTTCTTAATTACAATTATTTCACTGAGGGAAAGAAACCACCTAATATAAGAAGTATGTTTAAAAGAGCGTTGAGTTACCAACAGTTTAAAAGCTTTCTGCGTTCTGCTAATAACAAATCTAAATTAATTAGTTTTACTTCTTCTGAAAAAAAAAAAAGAAACAATCTTAATGAGCTTGGCTAGAGGTGCTTTAATCAGAAGAAATAATGTACTCAAGTATAACTGTATGGTGCTTACTTTAAATTACTGTTGATCAGCAGCCTCACAAGGAAATGTGAGTGTAAGAGATGCTGCTAATGCTTATTGACTTGCTGCTGCTGACTGACAGACTTTTCCAGGAATACTAAAGCTTAATTGCATAGTTAGTGGGACCTGGTATGCATTCCTGGTGCACTAATACCCAAGAACTACAGTGATGGCAAGAGTTGTTTTTAATCTGAATTCTCTCTGATGAAGTAATTCCATTACCTAAATTAAAAAAAAAAAAAGCCATCAACTTTACAGAGAAAAAGAATTTTCTGTTTGTGTCTGATCTGTAGTATCTTGGGCTATGGGGCTTTCTGGTTTTGTCTTACAATCATAATTTTAATTCTATATGTGCCAATAATTAACATTATTTATCTTGTCCCTGATACAACTCTGCATGAATTGTGTTTGCCATGTTGCATGTGTTTGCTTTTTACTCAGTCTTCTTGGATCCATTTTCCCAATGCCACGTGTAATCTATGCTATGGCGAAGGATGGGTTGCTTTTCAAATGTCTAGCTCAAATAAGTTCCAAAACGAAGACCCCACTAGTTGCTACTCTGTCGTCTGGTGCAGTAGCAGGTGAGACTAAGAGTCTAAACACATTGCGTATATGGAAATAAACCACTGTTGTGCAGCTTTGATTTGCTTTGGATTGAAATCATCAAATCTGATTGTCACCAGGTAAAGTAGGCTACCAGGAAAACTTTTCTCTGCCACAGAATTTGTGTTTGTGGGTTGATCTCAAGTGCTTTCAAAGCCCAGGTTCAAAATAAACCACAACCCAAACCCAGGAACATCAGTCAACTAAACAAAAAAACAAGAGCAGCAACACAGCACCTAAACCAAAACTATACCTAAACCCATTAAATCTTCCAAGCTTTATGTTTGTGTAGTTGGGTTTACCAGTAAAGCATTGTGCTTTTAATAACGTGTGTTTGAACTATACATTTTTCTGTTCTAGTCTTCTCGGCTCTATGTTCCCTTTGCCCAGAATTGTGTTTGCCATGGCACGCGATGGTTTACTCTTTAGTTTTCTTGCCAAAGTGAGTAAGAGGCAGGCACCAGTTTCTGCCACCTTGACAGCAGGGGCCATCTCTGGTAAGCTCGCAAAGCCCGTGTTACTTAAAACTGAAATTTAAACACTCTAAGCACGTGCATGGTACTTCATATTTTTAAAAAGGGCTGCTTGTTAACTTCCATTGCATGCACAATGGGAATGAAATCACCAAGTAATCAAAGGGTGTAAGAACTCCAGATCATGCCAATCATGGTGGTGGTGGTGATGTCCTTAATGTCACAGAATTCGCAGTGATTTTTTTTTTTTTTTTAAATATTGGCTCTTGTATTGTGAATAAGCTTTTTACTTAATCTGAGTCCCTTATGCTGAGGCTCTTCTTACAGGGTTTCCTTGTCTGATGTACACCTATATGTCACATCTATTAAGGGCGAAAATAACTGTCATGTTTTTTATTATGAGACATGAGAAAAAATTTCTACATTTGCAGCAGGATCATTTTTTATGTAAAATACAAAGATTTTAAAATTTTCTTCTAAAGAAAAAGGATTCTGGTTTTGTATAGGCTTACCAAATTGTGGTTGAGGGGTGCATGTATGTGTGTTGGGGGTTATGTGTGTATGCAGATATTTGTATGCACATACACGCCCACATATATTTTGGCAAAACAGCATTTGGGGAGCTGTTGCCAACTCTTAATATTTCACAAAGAGAAATTTTTAACATACAACTATTTCACTTTTGTCCATACTTCTTGCAGAGGTACATGTAGTTGTACCCAAATTTCATTGTCATTTCAGTGGGATGTCTAATTACCCAGAAAAACTGGAAGCTCTAGAAGTATTTAACTCAAAGGCAAATAACTAAGTCTTAAAAGGAATTAAAATATGAAATACCTGCCTTATGACATTTAGCAACCCTGCTAAAATTGATATCAAATAAAAGGTTCAGAACTGAGATTAAAATATTATTATTTATAGTCAGGATCATCCTCAGATGCCACAAGACTGGAACTGCTCATGCCATGTACTTGGCAGTAATGTGGATAGGCACAGTCATTGCCCGGATACTTCCCACATGAAACATTATTATCAGTTCTCTTTTCTTTGGTCAGAGTAAAAATCAATTGCTTAGAATTAATTCTGTTGTTTTGACTTTATATTATTTGAATTTATAATATCGACATATTCCCCTATAACGATTTGGAAGTGCAATTATTTGGGATGAAATGAACATCTTTATCTGGAATCAGAGTAATGATGAGGAGAAGGAAAACTGTATTACCCAGATGGTAAACTGATTGATACAGTTATACAGCCCTGACTATAGCTACGCAACAGCTGTTCCATGGACTGCTTTCAGACAGTTTGGGGAATCTGGTGTGTCAACAACTCACCTGGCGACAGCTTTATCTACTGCTGGAGAAGGAGTAATTTCTTCTTCTATTTTTAAAAAGGTGCATATTTGGTAACTTGTGGTAATGGTTCTGCCAGAACAGTTACGGATGTATGCAGCAGCTTCCATTTGACTTTTCTATTCACCATACTATGGAGAGTTTCACAGCTTTAAGAAGCATTAAGGAGATTAGATGTTTGGGCCCTTAATGAAAGCTATCAGGTCAAGACTACAGCTGAAGCGATTGTCACATGTTATTGCTGTGATTTACCTTTTCACAGGTGGTAACGGTGATTGCAAAACTCTGCACATAGCGAAATGTTTTGGTGTCAGTCCAAGGTTTCTTCACCATAAATTGAGCTATCATTTCTTACAATCGGCGTAGAATTAAGAGAGGTGAAAAAGCAATACTATGTCTTTTTTCTCTTAGTCAGAAACTTAGAGGCATTTTTCAGTTTGGTTCTAAGGTAAAAGAATATTCTGAGCTATAAAGTAGCCTTTGGAAGCTAGGATTAAAAATTAAATGTAGCTACTGTATGTGAGTTTATAGTAGGTTCTGTTCTTCCTCAGCTTTGCTTACTTATGTTCTTTTGAGCATGTGCAAAGCAGTGAGGTATTCAGAAATCTACCCTGTAAATGACTTCTTGGATTTAGGAACATCCGCCATCATTAAAGAAAACAGGATGGTCTTCCTTCTTTCGTTGGAAAAGGAGACTCACAGAGGAAATAAAAAAAAAAAAGCAGTCTTGTTTTCAGAAAATTACATTTTGCTTTCTCCTTCAGGATCAAAAAAACAGGGGAATGTTTGTATATGCCCCTGTCTACAAATATATTAACACATGTAACACAAAAATTATAATATAGAAAAATTTGTGTGTGCATATACATACAGAGTTTAAAGACTACATTTAATAGTTTCTTTTGATGTTGATTCAAAAAAGTAAGTATTTTTAGACTTTTTCTGCATCTCAATAATGTTAATAAAGTAAAAATATTTTAAGTGGCTCTTTGACCACATATATTTCAAATCAGTTAGCATTAGCCTTTCATTTAGTGATGGCTTGTGCTAATTTCTTTGAGCTATGTGTCTCTGTGTACAAACAGCGTAGACAAAAAAAAAAAGAAGACATACCAGAATCTCCAGAAGAATATGGCATTAGCTTTTATAAACACAAAGGCTGCTATAATACTCACAGTGTCATGGAAGTTTCTGCCTCTGATTTCAGGGATCTTAAGAATATTCATTCTTGTGAGATTTTGCTGGCCTCTCCTGAAGGCCACTTGAACTTAACTTTTTTTAAGTAAGATAATCAATTTAAAAAAAAAAAAAACTCTCTATTTGAGACAACTTCTGAAAGACTTCTTTACTTAGAGCTCTTTTTCAGCTCAGCAGAAATTTTACATTGCGATGACTTACTGGGTTGGGTCATTTTTTTCCAGTTCTGCAGTGGGATCCATCCTCTCAGCTTTGGTGAGATTCTGTTGCAGGATCTGAACCTTATTCTGTAAAAATGTATATTTAATGTAACCTCAATTCAACAAGCCATGTGTGCAAACAATTATGTCCAAATAAGTCCAATAGGAATCGCTTGATTATGCGGCATGACTGTATGGCTTATCAGTGCATATCTACATGAATGAGATTCCCAACTGTAGGGAATTAGGTTTGGGAATGTTGGCGATGACTTAAAAAATGTGTTTTTAAGGATTGCCATGATTTCACTCATATTGCTGTCAGTAAAACAATGTAAAGTTACACTGTGGACGGATTTTAAAATCTTAGTTCTTAATATGTCAGCCTGATACAAATTTTGCATTTTCTTTTCTTTTTTTAGCTGTAATGGCATTTCTGTTGGACCTAAAGGCTTTAGTAGGCATGATGTCTATTGGTACACTTTTTGCTTATTCACTTGTGGCAACCTGTGTCCTCATTCTTAGGTGAGTCAGAAACAGTCTTTTGCATTCTACTGTGTTTTATTTTGTGTTGATCAGTATGCAAACAGAAGTGCCGTTTACAGGGTATGGTTTTGCTAGATAGCTAAATGTTTAAAAATTAGGTGTACATATATAAAGGATTACTAAGAAGCAGTGACCCATCAAATAAAACAATTATATATTGTCATATCAGTATAGCAGTTAGTCAAGTCAAAGCTTCATGTGAAATCTAGACACCTTTTATTTTCCAGATGTATTGGTCCAAACACTAGTCCCAAAGGTACTAGATGTAAGCTTGTGTATGAAATTTAGTGAATGATATTTTGATATGAATACAATCTATGCTGTACATCAGGCCTATTACATTGTGGGGCTCTATGTGAAAGGGGTAGATGTTGTAGGTAGTTCTCAGGATGGACAAGTTCAAGTAATTGCTTTGTATTACCCTAGTGTCGTGGTTTTAGCCTGATCCAGCAACTAAAACTCACTCAGTCTCTCCTTCTCCAATAAAGCGGAGAGGAGAAAAATATAATAAAGGGACTGAGGGATGAGACAAGAACAGAGGGAGCACCCACCAACCATGGTCCTGGGCAGAACAGACTTGGTTTTCTTAAAAGCAAAACAATTTATTGATGGTTACGTAGAAGGACAAAGGGAAACAAAACCGGTTACTTGAGAGGACAGAAAGAAACAAAACCAGATCTTAAAACCGACACCTTCCCCCCCCCTTTCCTTTTCCTCCCGGCTCTACCTCCTCCCCCCAGCGGCACAGGGGGCAGGGGCTGGGGGAGTGCAGG